GTACCCAAATAGATAACATGAGTTGTTCTCGTAGATATGTAAATATATTATAGTGCAAATAGACAATTTGAGGGGCGGGGTGGGGAGGGATTGTTTGGGTGGACAAAGCTGCCTCATTATTTGGTCACTTGGGAAGCTAGTGGGCCAATTTGCATATAAAACCCAAGGCCTTTGCAAGACAAGGGATAGATGTCACAATCCCAGAGGCAGGAAAGCATAACAAAGGCTCTGCAATCAAATTACATTATATCCAGGGAATAGGAAGCCTTGCTGGTACCCAGGGCACCACACGAATACCTCCTCGTTGGGGAGTTCCTATGCCCTGGACAATACAATAAGGTAGGTGCTCTGATGTCCACTTCACAGAATAGATGGCTCGTGGAGTGACAACAGACGTTTCAGGCACTGGGACCAACGTGAGCAAAGAAAAGGGAGAACAAACAGCAGTACTCCCCCATTTGGCCCTCAAAGTTTCCTCTTCTGGGTAGGGCTCCAGACATTGAACACATCCCTCAATTTATGCTGGGCCCCACCCAGTTGGGCATAGCCCCACACATCAGGACCAGGAATCGGTCAGACATGAATTCAAATTCCAGTTCTTGTACTTCCTAGCTGTGTGACTTTGGAAAGTCACTTTACCTCTCTGAACCTCCACTGATTTATTTCCTCAACATGTATGTACTGAGGGCTTACTCTATGCCAAGCACTGCTGTAAGCACAGGACATGCCATGGTGAACAAGATAGACAAGGTTCTACCCTCCTGAATTGTGCATCTGGTTGGGGAAGACAGACACTAAATAAGCAAATACATAAACAAGATACCCTATGGAGATATTAAGGTTATATAAATGGAAACTTTAGAGTTGGGGGTTCCTTTAGCCAAGGAGGTCAGGAAAAGCCTCTCTGAGGCAGACAGCTGAGCTGACCTGAAAAATGAGAAAGAGCCGGGCAGTAAGCAGAAAAGGAAACAGCAGGTGCAAAGGACCTGTGGCAGTTATGAGCTTGGTGTGTGTGTGAGAAGGGCAGTGTGGCTGCAGAATAGTGGGTGAGGGCAGAATGGCAGGAGGTGAGGCTGGAAAGTTGGCTAGAGGCCAGATGGCTTAGGGCCCTGTAGGCCAAAGGCAGGAATATAATTTATATTCTAAATGCACAGGGAAGTCAGTGACAGTGTTCAGCCAGAGAAAGGGTGGGAGTGTGTGAAACAATCTGACCTTGGCTTTGAGAAGAACACTGTCTGGTGTGTGAAGAAAAATTTTAGGGACAAAGTGGGGAAGCTATCAGGAGGCTGCTGCCATTGTCCAGGTAAGTTGATGGCATCTGGATCGGATGGTAGGATTGGGGGTTGGGAAAAGTGGTCAGTCGCAGGCAAATATTGGAAGTAGATACATGACGTGGGAAGGAAGGGAGAAAGAGAGATGGAGCAAGGCTCCTAGGATTGGGCTTGAACTGCTGAGATGGGAAAAGCTGGGGGGTATGAACAGGAGGTGGATTTTGGCTATGAGTGTTTATAGTCCTCATATGGCACCCACGTGGAGGCTCGCAGCAGAACTCAAGACAAGATGTTTCGCTCTGGAAATACAAATTTGTGGCTCATGGGCATATAGACGGCATTTAAAATCACGGGACTGGATGAGATCATCAAGGCAAAAGGTGTAGGTCGAAAGGAGAAGGGCCCGAGACTGTTGACGGTAAAATGAGCCAAATGACACCTCCACCCACGCGGCTCTCTCAAGGTGTCACGTGAACGCATCCAGCCCGCGCTCTAATAGAGGCTGAGAACCCCGGGGCGGGGCCTGAGTGGGGCGGGGCGGGGCTCAGGAGCACAGAGGCCGCTCCCGGGCCGAGGGGCTGCCGGGGAGGTGACGTCACCGCATGACTGGGTTTTTATGAATGAAAGGAATCCTGTGAGTGAGTAATTCCGGGAAGCTCGCCTTACAACTCTGAGCGGCCCACCGCGCCGCCCGCCCCACAACAAAACTCGGCGCGTCGCTCCCAGGAGCCTGGCTCCGCGCGACCCGCGGTCGGGACCAGAGGGGAGACAGACCGGGTTGCCGGTCAGGACAGCAGCCCGGACAACAGCGGGATCGAGGGTGCCAGGGGAGCCAGGCGAAGCGAGCCGAGAGTCGGGTGAGGTACGCGGATCCGGGACGGGCACAGGCGCGCGGGGCCCCCAAACGGCAGGGTCTCCGCGCCCCGGGAACGTGCCTGGGGCGGGGCGCCGGGGCCCGCTTCGTCGGTGCTCCAGTGTATGTATGGGTCGCCCAGACGGCTGGCGTGTAGTGGGGGTGGTGGGGGCAGAGGTCGGGGCGACCAAGACGGGGCGGAAGCCAGCTTGGGACGGAGGGTGCGGGAGTGATGGGCCCCTTCTGGGGGCGCCGGGTGGGAGGCGGCGAAGCCGAGCAGGAAGGGGCAGTGCGGGCTAGCGAGCGTCAGCGTCCGCCGAGGCGGGGCCGGGGGCGGCGTGTGCACGTACGTGACTTGGTGAGAACAGTCCCTGGACCGGTGCCCGTGAGCCGGGCGTGCGCGGTTTGTTTACGTCCGAGGGCGGGCGTGCGTGTGTTCCCTGGCCTGCGTCCTGAGTATCCTGCCTGGTGCGTGCGTGCGCGGTGTACCGTGGTGTGTGTGTGTGTGTGTGTGTGTGTGAAGAGAGAGTGTGTGTGTGTGTGTGTGTGTGTGNGCAACATGGCGATGGTAATACCTACTCCTAAAACAGTGGGAGAGGATTAAGAGCCATCTGACACACCACACCCAGCAACCAGGGGGTGCTCCCAGGGCAGCTGGTGAACCCAGAAATTGGTTTGCTCCTTCAGCTTTACAACGGGGCTGATTATATGTGTTCCACCCACTCGGCGGGAAGGGCTTTGTGAGAAGGAAAGGTTGAGTTATAAAGACATTGAAATATGATAAAAGGACCAAAAAAAATTTTTTTTTGAAGTTGGTTTATTTAGCAGTGGGAGAAAAGAGCCAGGAAAATATATACGATGCAAACAGGTCTTAGGCCCTTAGCACAGTGCCTGGCACACAGAAAGCGACCCATAAACACAATATTAGTAACTATATAGTAATAATAGTAAGCAGCAATGAGAAACTGGTAGGAGGTATGTGATGGCCGGAACAAGGTAAGGTGGCAGAAGGTGCTGAAAGAGATCCCTTTCACGTCACTCCCAGCCAGCAGGGGGATCCATGGGAAATGTAGGACCTGGCCCAGCTGATGGAGAGCAGTCCTGCTGAGGGAGGCAGGAAAGGCCCGAGCGTCCAGGGACAGGAGCTCCTGGGGTCCCAGAAATCAAATCTCAGGGCAGGAAGGGCCTCCGTGGAACACCTAACAGGGAAATCTTAAAGCCAGCCCTGGTCTCCTCTACCGCAGCTCAGCTTCTAGCCGTCTTGCAGTGTGGGACGCACCGCAGAGTCAACTTTCATTTGAAGAAAGTTGACTGTGGTTTGAGGTTGTTTAAAAACCACGGACCTAACCCTACATTCTCACTGGCAGGTAACTGAAGCCAGAGGGAGGAAAGCCCAATTCTGGGGTCAGCCAGGGTGTGATCTGAGCTGCAGATCTGGGGCTCGGGTCAAGCTTGTTGCTGTTACTGAACACCTACTATTGGGCAAGGCACCTACCGTGGACCAGGGCCCCACAGGAATGTGCTTGGGGTGCTGTCTGGTGTTTTGGACTCCCAGGCAGGTGAACAGGGACCAGCTGGGACAATTAGAGTTCTGCTGGACTGTGCTGGCAGAGGGCAGCTCCATCCCAGAAACTGGCAGCAAGGCCCCTCCCTGTGGCAGGAGGTGGGGTCTCTGCAGGGTGAGGTCATCACTGGCTTTGTGTCACTCACCAGGAAAGAAGCAGGTTTCTCAGAGGAGGTGTCCCAGGGGACTCCAGAGGACTCATCTCTCTCTAACCCAATATTTATTGATCTTTTATTCCATACTAGGCACTGTGCCAAATGCTTATAAGTGTGAACAAGTTAAATTGTTTCATAATCCATTAAGTAGGCACTTTTAGTATATGGAGTATAGCCTCTTCTACAAAGGAGGAGGCTGAGGCGGGGAGAGGTGAACACACTCGCTAGTGAGGTGTGAGGCCAGGATTTGAGCCCACAGGCTAACTTGAAAGCTCCTACTTTGGAGGAAAGAACACCAACTTTTTTATTTAAAACAAATTTTTAGGAATGATAGAGAATTCCTGTATTGTATTCTCCCAGATTCCCCAATTATTAATATTTTATCACATTTTCCTTATAATCCTCTGTCTGTCCATCTGTCCGTCTGTCCATCCAACCATCCATCCATCCACCCATCCATCCACCCACCTATCTATCTTGTTCTGAACAATTTGAGAGTAAATTGAAGACATGATGACCCTTTACCTCTAAACACTCCAGTGTGTATTTCCTAAAATCAGGGGCATTGTCTTACACAGGACAATGATCAAAGTCAGGAAATTAACATTGATACGATACTATAATCTACAACACTTGTTTGGATTTTACCAATTATCTTAATAATGTCCTTATAGCCAAAGGAAATCCTGAGTCACACATTGCAATTAGTCATCATGTCTCCTTAGACTGCTTTAATCTGGAATAGTTCCCAAGTCTTTCTTTGTCTTTCGTGGTCTTGCCATTTTTTTTGAGCATATGGTCCAGTGATTTTGTAGAACTTCTTTCAATTTAAATTTGTCTGATGTTTCCTCACACTTAGATTCATTGTATGAATTTTTGGCAGGAATACCAACGGAAATGATGCTGTGTCCTTCTCAGGGCATTATTTAGGAGAAACACATGTCAATTTGTCCCATTACTGCTGATATTAACTTTGATCACTTAGTGAAGGTGGTATCTTACAGGTTTCTCCACTGCAAAGTTATCTTTCCATTTGGAATTAATAATTGTCTGCAGGGCAATACTTTGAAACTATGTAAATATGT